GAGAAAAAAAAGCAACTTACGAATGAGCGGGGATTTTAAATTAGCATGAATTCTTTTCCCAATTTACCACCTGTGGAATCTGAAAATTTTGTCGAAGCTGAAAACAAAAACATAAGAACTAAATATTTTTTTTCTTCACGGTTTAACTACAAATTTGGTAGCTCAAAAAAAATGAATCATAAGGATTTTCGTTAGAACGGATGACGTAATATAAATATATTTACTGTGACAGAAAGACAAAGAGGTTGACTGTTGTTTCAGGATACGAAAAGAAGCGTATGTCGAGAAAAATATTGCAAACGATGTCGCTAATTACTGAATAACATGGGTGTAAATAAAAGGGCGTTCACTATACATCATTTATTCACTTGATAAAAGAAAAGGCGTACATCGTGTGAAATGAAGTTTCTTTTCTTGTGACTCAATGGAAAATAGTTCGAATTGTATTTAAGCAAATGTGTGACGTTTTAACGTGACACCCTACTTGTATGTTTTATTAATAATTACAGGAGTAGAGGTAAAAACATTTTGGTAAAACTATCAGGTGACAAATTGGATGAAGAAAGAAACGGTTTTTCCCTGAAGTGGGGCAGAAATTTGTTCACTCAGTGTTAAATTTTGAAGTGAAGTATTTTTCACAATAATCACACACGTACTATAAAAAAATACATTTAGCTCCAAAGAGATACAGGCTCCTCACCAGGATTAGTTCTTGATTTAAAATAGTTGAGTCCAATCGTATCAGTGAGAATGAGCGAAAGTTGTTTTTTTTTTTCTTCTTGTTATGGTAAATGGACCTATTACTATATATGGACTAAATGGAAAAATACAAAATTGTGGCACAAGGCCGAAAAAGGGGAGGGGTCCTCATTATCTTATACCTATATTTGATTCACGACCCATTCAGACATTACAATTAACTCATTCACCATAAGAACTCGTCCGGGATATTATGCAGACCTACAAAAATAATCCTCGGATTCCGATCCATTTTTTTTTATCTGTATTTGATCCCAATTCAAACACACACACACACACACACACAGCTTGGGTTAAATGAATTCGTTAAAACAAGCTTTATTTCATTCTAGCCTCACACATCTAGATCAAAGTCAGTAAGAAATTGTATATAATTCATTGCATTATTGGTGAAATACGTTTACGTGTTTCTGGTCATTAGTAAGAATGTCATTATTGTCTGTTAAAGAATAGAAAAAAGGTTTAGTTATTAACATGATATTATCATTTAAACAGAACGATGGAATTCAAATAATCGTGTAATTCTAATGAATTGGATACATATAACTTCATGTATATAATTGTAACTCCATGTAAGTGAGAAGCATTTATTCTTCTATGTGTCGTGACCCTTCAGTACGTTGGCAATTACGGCTTTCCAAAAATTCCTGTCCTTCGTTGCTCTTAATGTATTTTAATTTTTTTCTTCTCTCCTATACCTTGTTTCGCCATCGATTTATTCAAGCTCTCTAGATAAGTTATGCGTTGTTTTACTCTGTCTCTCTTTCCTTAAATCTGTCCCGTGAGTATCAAATTTCCCAAGCCCTTTTTTCTTCTTATCTGCTCTAGTAATTTCAACTTTTATTCCTGGTGTTAAGTATAAGTCCATTTTTTCTCCATTCTCTCGTCACTGCTCATATATTCAGTTCCTGGTATCTTCCCTCTCCTCTTCCTTATGTAGAGTCAGAATTCTGTTGCTTCATGTCTCTTCTTCATTTATAAAGAGGTTGTCGAGCTTTCTCTGCCATATAGGAGGATTGTTATTACGTAACAGTTCAGTACTCCTTTCTTTGTTTCTAGAGAAAATTAAATAGAAAAACAATCGCTTGTTAGGATATTATTAAATGTTTTAGATATTAGGTTATTTTTGTTGGATAAGAATTTTGAGTGATTCCTTACATTAATTGAGAATTCATCAGTGGCACATTTTTTCCGAGAGCCAACAGAACGGAAAATACTATAAAAAACATAAAGAAGTGTATTGTAAAATACAATCAACTACCTAATAGAATTCTTCTCATTAAACTGAAAGTGAAGCCATTTGATATATCCATCTTTGTTGTATATGCACTGACAGCATAAAACACGGAGGAAGAAGAAGAAATTGATAAGTTTTGAACTAAACAAATCCAAGACTCCATGGATATCACAGAAAATTTATTTTGTTGTGGGATACCTGAATGACAAAGTGAAGAAGAAATGAGGTTGGGTAATAGTTGCAAGTTTCGGTCTCTCAATCTAAAATGAACGCAGAGAAAAATGGTTCCAATGGTACACAGCAAACGACCAAGTAATCAACAATACCAGTAAAATTTCATGAACATTGGTAACCCCAGAAGGAGAAATGAAAAACCACATCGACTACTTATCGATCTATAAGATATTCAGGAATGCAATTTTATAATTTAAAATGGATGCAACTGTCGACTGTGGGAGCGGGCTACCTTACAGTGACGTGTAATGAAAGTCAAAGCATTATTCCAATTACAATGGATCAAAGAGAAATATATTGACAATGATAAAGTTAAATAAAATAAATGAGAATGGAAATTCAAAGTGGAACATTAACTTGAGTGACATCAGCAAATGGGATCATCGCAAGGAAAACTGGACAAAGAAAAAAGCAGTGAATATCAGATGAAATCCACCACAAGAAGGAAAGGAGAGAGCAAACAATGCCAACGTATAGCACAGGATATAATACATTAGACAAAAGAAATTGGAAATAAAAGCAGACATTCAAAAGTTGAATGGCTGAATGACAAAAGGGTAAGGATAAAAGGGATGTGCATCACAGATAAGATAGATATAAATAAGATAAGAGAAATAAAAGAACAAAATATATGCTCATCGAGTAGGTTGTATAAATTAAAAACATCGACTACTTATAATATAAAAAGAAATATTTTTTTAAGATGGAATGAAAACATCAGAGAACTCTTACACAGTGTAGTGGGGTACCAACAATATAATCCAATTTGGAAGGACTTCACATCTGGAGTGAGATCTTTACTGACCATATTAACAGGAACGAAGCATCAGGACCAGATGAAATTCTAAGAGGACAAGATGAAATTTTAAGAGGAAGTGTTAGAGTAATATGGGAATTACAGGAAGATTTATAACACGAGGGTTGAATGTTTTAGGACACAATAATAAGTGTATTTGAAGAACTTGGCACTCACAGGATATATTGCGAGTAAGTTGGACTTAAGGGCAAAATTGAGTAACCTACCTAAACAAGCTTGTATAGATAGATGGCAGAACAGAGTGTGGGAGCAATTGAGAAAATATAAATATTAGTAAGAATTATAAGGAACAGGACGATGGGGGAAGAGACAGGATCTCGCACTACCTGAAGGGACTGCATATAACAGAATAGTATTATCAGAGTCAAAAAGAAAAGAGAATTATCAGAATAATGAAAGAGAGACACTCGATAACGCTAAGGAATAGCACAGAGTCAAATAAAATAAAAATGCAAATAAGCAAAATATGAATGACTATGCGGAGACAAAAACATACTTACCCAGTATAGATATAGAAATCCCACAAACAATTATAAAGACATAGCAGGGGAGGAAACCTGTTATTCGACAGCGTGTATAATAATCTAAAAAAGAACCATCAGAATAGCAAAAGAAAACTCATTAAATAAATTGAAAGAAAACAGCAGATAACTCTTCTCTGAATATAGAGGAGAGCAAACTATGGTACATAACAAAATATGTGGGACCAGTCAGTCAGTTATGTGCCATGCGTGATACACGTTTAGGCAATCATGTATCTTTCAATACATGACTGACGAGACAGATTTTTTTCCCGCAGTTGCCAGTTCTTTCTTGTTATCCAAGACTATAGAACCCGGTCTTTCCTGCTATATTTTACATAGCTGGGGGGAATGAAGGGGATTCATATCGTTCCCAAGGGTATTAGTACGTAAGTGAATGTAATGGATACGACTGGAATTCGAACTCGGCTCTCTGATTCCTCAATCCGAGATCCTATCTATTATTCAGCGTATTCTAAATTCTGAAATAAAATCGGTACTGTACAAGATGATATGAAGCAAAAGAAATATCAGTACCAGGGATGCTGATAGATTGTTGCTTACCGAAATAATAAATTATATATTTGTTATGATGTTGATTTGGGGTTAGTAGAGACAAACGCCAAATAACACGTAACAATAAAAAGGGTTTTAATAGGTTGGTAAAAAGGTACAGAAATCGCCTGAGTAGTCAATAACTAGCTCATCTAAGAACTTCTCTGTCTATCTATCTTTTCCCCCATGTCAACTGACATGCCACTATTTAAAGTCTTTGTACACAGATGCAGACAAGTTCATCTTCCAGAGGGGTGGTAGGTTTCCGACACAACAATATTGGAAGACTTCAGTAAATTTCTCTTCATAACATTGCCATAGAAAACAGATACAAACATATGCGACTTCCATCGGAGACTCAGCTTAATATGTCATGTAACGAAACCTATCAAGAAGATTCTAATGAATAGTCTTGGTAGCAGAATTATAGGAGAGATAAGACAAGAAGCGATTGAACTTTTTCGAAACGCTTGAATAAGAAGTTCTACATTTATGATGAGAATGTTCTCAGAATAAGCAATACAATTACAGAAAGATATACAACTATGTTTCAAAGATTTCACAAATTAATTTGATAGGATACAACAAGCAGAACTTCTTCAAATATTTGAAAGCCAGGATTTACAAAATGTGTTCCATTAACCCATAACCTACTGGGAACAAACTTTTTGTCAATCAACATATAGGATAACGCAAACCTTGAAAAAGGTTTAAGCTATGGGCGATTTTCCTCATCGGGTTTACTTAACCTATAAAATGGGACGATCCTTAATCACTTTGAAAATATACAATTATTAATTATTGGTAGACGAAAGCTTAACAACATATGAAACACTACCTGTCATCAACACTATGTTGATGGTGGACAGAGAGGGCTTATGGCCATATATCGTTGCAACACCGGTTCTTGTAAAATCGTCGAAGTTAAGCAACGTAGAACTTGGGTAGTACCTAGACGGGCGACCGCTTGGAAATATCAAGTGCTGTAAACTTCTATGTACGTTTGGTGTGATGGATAATGGCCCAGATTTGGAAATCGGGGAGCCGAGTTCGAATTTCAGTCAAGTGCGTATTTCAGTCAAGTGCGCAAATATCTCTGAGAAATTTGTGAATTCACCTCTTTTCCTCGAGCTATGGATTAATTAGTATGACTTGTATCAGTAAGCCAGTATTATCTCCAAAAAATTCTTACAATCGAAAAATATTTTCAGGCTTTAAATAAACTTTAAAAGGTCGATAAGCTGTAAAAAAAAACAAACAAACCAATCAATTAAAAATAAAATAAAAAAAACTCAGACTGAGAAATTAAACAAAATATAGTAAAACATAGAGAAAAGACAATTGTCCTGGCATAAATCGGAAACGATACCCCCCCGCTTCTCTTTGGTCACAAATCTGAAAACGGTTGCTTCCAAAGAAATGGATTTCTTAATGGAGGGTTGCGTGGAATAAATTTGCTGACATAGAAAAACAGTTGCTTCTAAAGAAACGGATTTATAAATGGAAGATTTCGTGGAATAAAATTACTGACATAGTAAAATTAGTGTTTATTTTTATTCGTATTTGTTGGTGTTCTTGCACGTTTTTCTATTAACATGTCTACGGTCTGATTTTAAGAAATAAGTAAATAAAACATTTATTTTAACCGTTACAGACGAAGTCAGTCATTATCTAAATCACGTATTTTTATGATTTAGTTCCTCTGTTTTCAATTAAACAACTCACGTTTTTAAATCTTATTGATTGAGTCATGTAATCTGCATTTTTTTTATTTCATTTATAAAGTATCGTTCGTTTGTTAACATATGGCGGTTTCAGAGTGTGTATAGCGTAACAGTTATCGACGCCTAACATGTAATCAGAGAGCCAAGTTCAAATTCTGGGCTTGTCTGCTGTGCTTACTTTCGGAGAAATGACCTTAGGAAAGCTCTGAAGAGATATATTCTCTCCAGCTTGGCTGGCTTGTAGTATGGGAGAATAGCGATTGTGGATACAAAATTTGTGGATAAGGCATTTAAAAGCATTGCACGAAAGTTTCCAATTTGGGGAGATATACTTTTTTAGTTTATTCCAGCGAGCAGAATCTATATCTATAATTCTCAAAATGTGTGTATGTATGTGTGTGTGCGATCGGATGTTGTTTATGTGTTTCCACAGTTTTCATCCGATTTAGATGAATTTTTTTTTTTTTTTTTTGTTCGATAGATAATTTTTCAGCGCTGGATTTGAGAACAAATTGACTGGAAAAATTAAACATTGAAGGTGAAAAATCGAAAAAATGATTTTTTTTATACTTTGCGCAAAAATTAAAGGCAGTATTTAATGTCTGTAAAAAACAGCGTACAATCAATTTACAGAGTTGAAATCTAACGCAAAATATTATTAGAATTATAAAAAAAAAAAAAAAATTATATTATAAATGAAAATTATCGATTATTATTATGAAGGGCGATTGAAGAAGTTCCTTCCCTGCAAGATTGAGAGCGCAAAAACGGTCCTTTTCAGAGCACCCCTATTCAAATTGTTAACCCCCCCTCATTTGGGGATGTGCCTCAGTTGCACCCAATTGTTGTTACTAATATTGATTTTTGGGGTGGGCTAACTTTAAACTTAAAATGCTACAACTGAACGGCAAAAATTGCCTGTAATGAAACACCCGGTTGAAGATGGGTTATACTGTTAGTTTATAATATTTTTGTAAAAGAAAATAAAACAGTTGTAATCTTTGTTAATTTTGTGCTAATACGATATAAAACGAATAAACAAAATTATTAAACTGTCGTTTAAAAGATACTGTGTTGATAAAAATAAGAATTACATTATAACGCTGCTGTTGGGGTTTATAAACTTCATTTGATGACGGATTGTATTTTATAATAATTATCATCATTATCATTATTATTATTACAAATAAATTGGTTGATATATGTAATATTTAATGAGAAAGATATCAGGATAATTCTCAGCAAATATTATGACTAAAAAAAAAATAAGGACGAAAATCTAACGCTATATATAAGAGAGTCGAATGAATATTTCGAAAAGAAATGTCAGATTCGGATTGCGGAAAGTGGAGGTAGCGAGCCGAGTTCAAATCCAAGCCTAATATGTTCCATTCACTTTCGGGCTAATCACCTCAAGAAGGCCTGAATCCATCTCTTCAGCCAGGAAATAGATAAGTCGTACGTTGCGTGGTATGAGAAACTATGCATTCAAAATTATAGAGAAGGCAACAGGAAACAACTCCGCTATGTTTCCTCCAAAATGTACAGATAATAAAAATAGTATTCTCTACCCTAGTGGGACAAAATATTTTTAAAAACTGATGTAGAATATATTATTTATTCTTATTATTATTATTATTATATCTTTTATTATATTATTATTTATCTTGAATAGAAGAAACATTAAGAGAAATCTAGTAAATAAAACAAAGCTTTGCTTTAATGGTTTACGATTTAATTCCAAGTCACTTTCTGTAATCCAATGTTCAGTATGATTTATTTATTTGATGCTTGTTTGTTTGTTTTTTATCATTTCACCCCAAACAGGGCAATAAATCCACTAAGATGCAAGGGGCGATTTTGAGGAAAAATAATTAGAGAGAGAGAATAATAAAACATTAGGAATTAATCAAACAGAAGATTGCATTTAATTTTTGAAAATCAAACTTGACTAAAAACCAAGAAGCTTCATCTGTCAATGATGTGACCTATCTGCCAATCGAGTAATGTGCTTAAATTCATAAAGTTGCCGTCTTAGATGAAACCTTATTCAAACAGTTACCATGAAAATATTTAGTGAGGGAAGCTAAGTTACGGTGGTCGAAAAGTGGCTGAAACCGAGTCCAGGACTGAGAAAATTGCTGATTTTTCCTTAGGCTTTGTCAAGAATCTACAGATAGATAGCAGAAGCACTTGTAAAAGCAATATTCAATTCATATGGTAGATATATATATATATATATATATATATATATATATATATATATATATATATAAGATAACATTATCTGGAATGACACAGTGATCCAACTTCCTCGTACCAAACATAGCAACTGATTCAATATAATCTTTCCACTTCATATCAACGGAAAACGCTAGTCTGAGAAGGCACGATGGGCTATTTCCCCGGGCTGCACATCAACCATATGCAGATGGGAGCGAAAAAGGATCTTCTCTTCTATTTTGTATCGTATCTCTTCAGGACGTAGGCGATCACGACTCTACACAATTTAATATTTTTTATAGCTGGTAATATTTTTCTTTTTCTTTTTCTTAAATCGGTCCCTAATTTGACATTATCAAAGCTACCAGACAAACCATTATGGCACTTTCAAGCACTTTTATTTTTTCTTCTAATATTCCGCACGATCAGTGTCTTTCGCATGTGTCGTGCCAACATAGCGTTTTCTCCCTGCCTTGCCATACATCTTTCATTTGTTGCAATGTATTTGTCTACAACTTCTAATTGATATTCTGTTACGCTTCCTTGTTTTGCATAAAGTAAATTTCACACGCAGGCAGATTATTTGCAATTATAACACCAACAGTTGCCGTTTTCATTTCTCAACTTCAGGTGTATATATGTCATTGGTTCATTTCCTTAAAAGAAACGCTTAATGATTACCTATGGAAAATTATTCATTTCATTCACTAATAATTCCCTATAATTTTCCCGTGTCTATCTATATTTATAACATGAGATATTGTAATTATTTACACTAATTACATTGTTTAAACTGTTGTCCTCATCTTTATTGTCATATTAACGACGATTCGGCCGTTGTACATTCCGGCCATCTTCAGTTATTTTTTGGTTGGTGCATAATTATAAGGCGCTTTTTAAACAATATTTATTAAGAAAAAAGTATCATAACAATTCAACAATAATATTTTAAATGATTATTCTGGAGCGTAGTCACCATCTACTTCAATGACTGCTATCACAAAGTAAACTGATCAAAAGTAATCAAAACAGCAATTTTTATTAACAAATAACACGCTCACAAAAACGCCTGGTAATTATGCACCGACCAAATATATTGAAACTGAGCTATCCAAAAAAGGCATGGCACGTGGAACTAGAACAATCTATCCTGGTGGACAAAATAAAGGGTTCTGTTCGAAATTCCAACATATGTCTATAACACCTTTCGCCGCCGCCGCGTTTTAGGGGTCCGGACCTCAGGGACATTGAACAGCGTTTTAACCACGGGGCTAACTCTGCGCTGGTCAATACTGACGTTGATCCAAGCTGATTGTTGGCCGCTGGCAGCTTCTATCCACACCAACTCTGCCCACACTGTGTTCTTGATCTCAGAGCAGTGGAAAATCGAAGGTCGTATTCTCTCAGTTCTGGTTCAAGTCATGGCGGGTGCAATATTAAGGGGAAAATAACTTCACAGTGAAAAATAAAACTAAAGATTCGTGGGGTTAATCTTGAATTTGTTTATATAGCTATTGGTACAACCAAAATTAACTCTTCCTGCATCAATCTCTATAGTGGCATTGGGCCTTGTCTTTAATTTCTGTAGGAACTGGCTTCAAAGTCTTCGGATCAGGAAATCTGGTGACCTCTGACAGTGCCTGACGTGCAATTCAAAGGCACTTGATACGAGTTCTCAGTCCAAAGTCTCCGAGCTCCTCAAAATCATCTGCTTATAGGCACTTCGGTGCTAGCGTGGGACCGAAGGGTTCTAGGGATTCCGTCATTCCCCAATATTCATTAATTCCAATAAAGGTTTTCTTTGTTGCCTTTCGCGGATTTCTTAACCAACTTTCCAGATTTGGAGAATTATCCACCTTCCTTGGGAGTGTTCACAGAGAAGTCTCCTCTCTTAACTCCAACCTTCTTCACTTCACATCTCGCAGCGCTATTCCTCAATGACGGGGCTAAACTCTGTCAATTCCTCCTACTTTCTTGGTAGTCTAACTCTGCCCGCTTGTCAACGTTGGTATAACTGTCTTTGTAACAAATCTATTTTTTTT